TTGGCTTTTTTTTTTTTTTTTTTTTTCATAACCAGGTGCAGTAAAGACTGGAGCAGAATTCCTGGTCCAGGCAGAGTCGCATGGCTGGAGGATAAAGGAGAAGGCAGAGTTTTTGTAGAGTGTGGCTCAGGCTGAGGGGTGAGGAGCAAGGAAAAGTTTTTGTAGATTGTAGGTGGATTGGGTCAGATCAGGAGGAAAGGAAGGAAAGATGGAGGATGGAGAAACGGGGGATGAGGATGAGACCAAAAGAACAAGAGCTGAGTTATGACTAGGGCTATGAGAGGACAGAAAACAAAGGGACAGAGAGGAGCTGAGTGTCAGAACAGAGCTGAAGCTGTGTAGACAGAAGTTTGTTATAGAGAAATAAGAAAGACGTAAGAAACTGGTGTGCATAGATTCTTTCCCCTCAGATAACCCTGTGCTGGATGTAGCGTCTTCCCCAGGACTCTGGAAAGGATTTTCTCAGGGCTGGGGAAATTCCTACAGGAAAGGTGATTATTAAAAATGCAGACCTTTGGAGTAGATCCCACTAAGATGGATGGAACACGACGCAGGTCCTGATTGGAGGTGCTGTGTGAGTCTGCTGTGTGGGTCTGCCCTTCCCACGGCTATGCACTTGCTGATTGCAGGGCCCAGGATGCTGCTGCTGTGGCTGCAAGCTGTTCTGCTGCTGTTAGTCCTGCCCAACCATGCTGAGGTTACCACGGCTGAAGAGCCAGGAGTCCTGGTCCCTCCACCCAAGGAAACTTGTGCAGGTTGGATGGCAGGCATCCCAGGACATCCTGGCCACAATGGGACACCAGGCCGTGATGGCAGAGATGGCACTCCTGGCGAGAAGGGTGAGAAAGGAGACGCAGGTACGAAGGAGCTTGGGCAGAGGGGGGCTTTGCAGGGTGTGTGATACCAGTTGCTAAGGCCTGGACACAGGCAAGAAGCAAAAGAAGCAAAACCTTATTTTATGTGGATCATAAGCATCCTGGGGCTTGAGTGATCCTCTTTGAGAGAGACAAGGTGGTGCCTACTGAGCTATCCATGACTTCACTCTCTCTGCCTCTACTTCCCTGTGCCTACCCTTGTCCATAGTCCCAATGTATTCCTCTTCTTCTTTCCCCCTTAACTCTTGATCGACTCATTGGCACTCACCTGGACTTTTAGTGCACTCCTGGAGCACTCTAGCTTTTAGAGAATGCTTGGCTTAGCTGAGAAGACAAGTATACTGGACAAGACTCTGGGCAGTGGTTGCAAGGACACAGTGTCTTCCAACACGCAACCTGCCAGTCTGAACACGTGCAAATGCTGAAGGCATGGGGTACGGGAAAAGTGCACTCAGTGAGGATGTAGATCAATGATCGGGCTGTGCTGAGGAGGCGGGGCTTGAGCCACACCTCAAAGGATGGCTCCAGAAAACAGAGGAGGAGGACATCTGGACAGAGGGGACAGAAGGCAGGCACAGTGGTCATTTGGCCCATGCACAAAGGACTTATAGGGCACATGAACTATGGTGGATACTTACAGGAGATACATTTCTGGAAACCTGCTGGGCTATGGGGGACATGGAAAGGTATGAGATGAAGGAATGAATACACGAATGAGTAAATGGATACTTCACGATCAGAATGTGACCCCAACTGACTCCTACTAAGAGCCTCTACCAGGCCAACTCATTCAAGCAAAGAGCAAATGAACCAGAATGTATTATCTAGTGTGAACGTTCTAAATATTTTTTTTTTAAAGATTTTTATTATGTATACAGAAAAGGGTGCTAGATCTCATTACAGATGGTTGTAAGCCACCATGTGGGTGCTGGGAATTGAACTCAGGACCTCTGGAAGAACAGTCAGTGCTCTTAACCTCTGAGCCATCTCTCCAGCCCCTCTAAATATTTTTTAAAAGAATTATTTATTTATTTATCATCTATACAGAAGAGGGTGCCAGATCTCATTACAGATGGTTGTGAGCCACCATATGGGTGCTGGGAATTGAACTCAGGTCCTCTGGAAGAGCAGTAGGTGCTCTTAACCTCTGAGCCATCTCTCCAGCCCACGTTCTAAATATTAATCAATTTGCCCACTCATCTTTTCATTCACTCATAACTTTAAAAATAAGGTTGGAGGGTCTGGAGAGATGGCCCAGAGGTTAAGAGCACCGACTGCTCTTCCAGAGGTCCTGAGTTCAATTCCCAGCACCCATATGGTGGCTCACAATCATCTGTAATGAGATCTGGCACCCTCTTCTGTGTACATAATCAATCAATCAATCAATCAATCAATCAATCTTTAAAAAAATAAGGTTGGAGAGATAAACTTATGTGAGCCCATCAGGCTGTGGAGGGTGTGGAAAGTGGAGATGGCATCCTTCCGTGTCCTGTCAAATGGGTTGTGGGTGGAGGCCCTGGAACCAGCCTGGGCAGCTCTGTTCCCGGCAGTCACAGAGCTCTTCTCACTTTCCAGGTCTTCTTGGTCCTAAGGGGGAGACAGGAGATGTCGGAGTGACAGGAGCTGAGGGGCCCCGAGGCTTTCCCGGAATCCCCGGCAGGAAAGGAGAGCCCGGAGAAGGTGCTTATGTGTACCGCTCAGCGTTCAGCGTGGGGCTGGAGACCGGAGTCACTGTCCCCAATGTTCCCATCCGCTTTACTAAGATCTTCTACAACCAACAGAACCATTACGACAGTAGCACTGGGAAATTCTACTGCAACATTCCAGGGCTCTACTATTTCTCCTACCATATCACGGTGTACATGAAAGACGTGAAGGTGAGTCTCTTCAAGAAGGACAAGGCTGTTCTCTTCACCTATGACCAGTATCAGGAGAAGAACGTGGATCAGGCCTCCGGCTCTGTGCTCCTCCACCTGGAGGTGGGCGACCAAGTCTGGCTCCAGGTGTATGGAGATGGGGATCATAGCGGACTCTATGCAGATAATGTCAATGACTGTACCTTCACGGGCTTCCTTCTGTACCATGACACCAACTGATTGCAGCTAACTCAGAGCTTCCCCATAGCCCAAGCACCCCGAGAATCAAATAACAGCCCACAAGCTTCCAGCATAGCTCGAAAGATTGATTTTTATGGTTTAGTTTGAGGGTTCTGAATATTAGCCACACATGTATTCATTCATTCATGAAATGACTTCATAAAAAATCTTTTCTGGGCTCCTAGTCCAGAAAAAGAAACATTCCTTGGTCTTCACAACTCTTACATAGTAGCAATAATAGAATGAAAATAACGTTTAAGGGAGGAGTTTCACCACACCTTCACTGACTATAAGGAAGTAGACAACGCTATTTTGTGTCCAGTCTCTCTTGACGTTCACACAGATCCTGTAAGGTACACATGAAATACACGATCTCCTCTCTTCACAGCTGGAGTCTTTAGGATGTGTTTATGAATGTCTAAAGTCCTACACTTATTAAAATGGCAGAGCTAAAAGTGAAGGCCAGAGCATGGTCTGTTCCCATTGGATGGGACCATTTTTCAAAAGCACATGCTTGTTTAAAGTGTTGGTAGAGGTCTCTGTCCACCTCATCTGAGGGTCGCAGTTGACATCCATCAAGACTTCTCTCCAGTAGAGCTCTCTCAGAGAAGGTGGTCCTAAGTCGATGTCCTAGTGCAGCTGGACTGATACTCATTCGCTCCTTCCCTACTCTGCGCATGCGCTCCTCTGTGTCCACGCTCCTGCGCTTCCTTCCAGCTGGGGAAACCTCTACCACCTTCACGTGTCCATCCCCCCCCCCATCCCTCAAGGCCACCCGGAGAGGAGATTTTCTGATGTGATCTCAATCCAACTCCCTCTGTGTTTTTCCACAGATGAAAGTCTGTGTGTGAGACGTGTTCTCCTCAGACTAGGAGAAATTGCCTGTTAAGACTGAGCGTCCTCTCCCTGCGCCCCCTTCCCCCAATCCTCTGAAGGTCCTTGACAATTGCTTAAGAAAGGACAGTCTCCTGAATCCCATTTATACCCATAATTTACTTCAGTTCAGTTTCTACAATACTCATTCTTATCCAAAGAGCCATCTCATTTAGGAACACAGTGGTTTTAGTAACCCAGTCCCACTGTTCAAATGGATAGCATCATCCTTTCTTACTGAGGTGAAGGATGGCTGTGCTTTCCACAACACCCGCAGAATTATCCCTCAGACTGTTGTAGCCGAATCTCCAGACCCTTGAGTAAGACCACCACAGAGCTGATATCTGATGCAAAACACACAGGGGTTTATTGATAACAAGCAAGCCCGGGCTTGGTCCTTGGTCCATGTCCAACACTCAACACAGTGGGTGGAGGAGGATGGCCCTGAGCTCTCAGGGTGAGGGCTTTTTAAAAGGAAAAACTGCAAACAGGGTTGTACAAACCTTGGTATCATATGATTGGATGAGGGTGTGTAATCTTTGAATTTACTGGCTGGGGGTTACAGTTATCATTTTGGGGGCAGGCCTGGACAAGTCCCAGGCTCTGTCCTTGAGCTATCATGGAGGCTGGCTGGCCTCACACGTTCACACTGACACATGCACGTAGCTCTAAGTTGGTGAGGGGTCCCAGACAGTAAACAACTGGCTGAACCTTGAGTGGTCAGAGTACGTGCAGAAATGGAGCTACTGCAAGGACTATGTCTTGGCCCTCTCAGAAACTGCTTGCTCAAGTCTCAGGAAACTGAAATTGAGGCCTGATCTCTGAGAGAAGACTGAGCAGCCTTTTATGGTGTCTGCTTGGTCCTTTCAAAACAAGTCATTTGAGCCTGAAACCCAAAGCACAGAGGAATTTGCCTCCTTCTTTCCATGAGCACCGACAAGGTGGGGGAAGAGACGGCACCCCTGAATTGATCTTGTTTTCCGAGACTTACAGGTGGAAGGGCTGGAGAGATGGCTTTGTGCTTCCGAGCATTTGCTGTTCTCATAGAGGACTTGGGTTCCGATGCCAGCAGCCACACTGGACAGCTCAGCAGCCACACTGGACAGCTCACAGCTACCTATAACTTCAGTTCCGGGGGATCCCATGTCCTTTTCTGGTTTCTGTAGGCACTGCATGCACGTGGTGCTCTTGAATAAGCTCAGGCACACACATATGCACATAATATAGACCAACAAATAAACCTTAAAACACAGGCGGTTCTCTATAAGAGGCAAAGTCCTTTGATAACTCTGCCATAGGAGCTGGTTAAATACACTTGGCCCGAGACCTTGGTTAGTGCTGGCCTTTGAAGGACCACCTTGACACAAACTGCCCGGCTCTCAGTGTGTGTTAAGGATGTGAGTAGGCCTCCCTGGCTTCCCCATCATGAAGTCCTACAGTCCTTTGTTCCTTCTATCTGTGAGCAGCAGGCCTGTGCAGCCCCTGGGCAGCCATGCGTGACTGAATTAAAGATGGTACTTGGAATCAACCTAGACCTTTCACACACTACTCAAGTGCTCACCACTCAAGCTCTGAATCTGGGTATTTAAAAACTGATCCGTAAAGCCAAGAGATGTTTGAAAACTGAAAAACAAAAGTCCATGCAAATGTTGCTTTGTTTTCAAGTTTATGTTCTGGATGATTCCCTTTGGTAAGGATGCTGGGGCTTTGTCCTTTAAAGTGCTTGCTTATTGCCATTTTCTGCAAATAAAGGTCCACTCCAGTGTTGCAAGTAAAACTATGCTATGCACCACTTCTCTTTTTATTTCTGGAGGAACATTTGGGATCAAGAGAAGGATAAACAGTATTAGGACTCAATGTTGCAAGTGGCGGAATACCCAACCTCAGACAAGGCAGGCAAAAAATAAAAACATGGCACTCGACTGGGACCCAGGAACACTATGTGTGTGCTCCTTCCCCTCCCCGATTCTGCTCCCTCCTGAGTGGTTAGAGTCGCTGCTGCCTGTCCGACTCAGTCTCTCCCCCTAGCTCACCACCATCCCCTTCAGCTGCCATCCTTGCCATCCTTGTCCGGAGCCACAGTGCCCCTAGTTCGGCCTCTGCCTTTCTTCATGGAGCTGGACCCCAAATCCTCCAGCTGGACCCCAACTCCAGAGTCAGTTCCCTTCCCCCTCCCACTAACCCATCACCCACCCCCCAACCCTCTGCATCAGTCTATGACTGTTGGGCCTGAACCCAGAGCTCCAATCAGAATTTCAGATCCGGGACTAGGGACAGTCGGAAGCTTAAAATCCAGAGTGACCCAAGACTGAAAACCAAGCATCATTCTGGGCCACAACCTGCCAGTTTAGGGCATGAGCACCTGAAGAACCAAATATCTACCCAACAAAAATAAGACCAGATATCTACATAAAGCAATACCACAAATGTCATAATTCCAGATGTTTATTCCCAACGCAAAGGAAAAAAGGTGGACAATCCAGACAGTATGTCTCTCCCAGAGGCCAGCAACTCCACTGTGGTATTCCCTGAGAAAATCAACTTATCTGAATCACCAGACAATGACTTCAAAATAGCAATTATGAATATGTTCAAGGCCTTTAAAAAGATGTGAATAGCTGGGCAATGATGGCACATGCCTTTAATCTCAGCACTTAGAGGCAGAGGCAGGCGGATCTCTGAGGTTGAGGCCAGCCTGGTCTACAGATTGAGTTCTAGGACAGGCTCCAATATTGGAGAAATTATTTTGGCCACTCCACGTAGTTAAAAGGATATTTATTTAATGGCGTAACTCACAAATTAAGTGAAAGGTAGGTCGCAGGGTCTGGGGAAGGTGTATCTCAGTCCAGCGGTGTTCTCCGGAGCTCTGCACAATCCACCTTCACCGTTCAGCGTCCCGGCACAGAGAAAGCGCACTGAGAGAGCGCTGGCCCATCCAGCTCTCGGGTCTCCAGGTGCCTCCCCTGGCCCCACCTGGTAGGCGTGACAGTTGTCAGAGTCTCAATGGGGGTTGGAACTTCCAGATCCAAGCTGGAATGGCTACCCACTACACTCCAAAGCTACACAGAGAAACCCTGTCTTGAAAAACCAAAGCATGGTGGTGGTGGTGGTGGGGGGGGAAGGATGTGAATAAATGCCCGAATGAAGACTGTGAGTGTACAAACAGTTGAATTAAAGGAGGAAAGCCATTTAAGACATGAAAGTAGACGTTAGCAGAGAAATAGAATCACTAAAGTAAAACCAAAGTAAAATAAACTCAATGGAAACCTCAGATTAAAGCTTCAGCAACAGATTAAAAGACATGGAAGAGAGAATTTCTGATTCTGAGGATAAAGTAGAAGAAACAGATCAGTAAGAGAAAATGTTAAGTCTAAAAAAAAAAATTCCAAGCACAAAACATCCAGGAAATCTGGCACACTAGGAAAAGACAACTACAAATAATAGGTATAGAGGAAGGAGAAGAAAATCAGATTGACGACACAAAAAATATTTTAAACAGAATCATTTTAAACAAAATCAAAAAAAAAAAAATTGCCAGTCTAAAGAGATGCCCAGCAAGGGGGCAGGAGGCATAGAGAACACCGAATAGACAAGACCAGAAAAGAAAGTCCCCGAGGCACGTACCGATCAAAACAATGTGCAGAACAAAGAAGGGATATTAAAAGTTGCAAGAGAAAAAGACCTAAGCCACATATGAAGACAGGCCCATTAGAGTAGCCTTTTCAGTGGACTGTCTGAAAACAGAAAGGACCTGCGTGGATGTTCCACAAGCTCACAAAGACCACAGATACCAACCAAGACTATTACACCCAGAGAAACTACCAGTCACAACCAAGGGAGAAAGAAAAAAATTTCATGATAAAAACAAATTCAAACCCTTTTTTTCATCAATCCAGTTCTGCAGAAGACACTAAAAGGTTAAAGAGAGGTTAAACACACCCAAGAAGAATTAATAATCCCAGAACAGTTCATCCGAAGAGGAAAGAAAAGAAATGCTACCACAACAAAATAATAGGAATTAATGAACACTGCTCAGTAATAACTGATAATGTTAATGGCATCAGTTCCCCTGAAAAGACACAAACTAGCCTTAGAAAACAGCATCCAGCTTTCTGAGGCATCCAAGAAACACCCATTACCAGTAGGAACAAACATTGCCTTAGAGTAAAACAATGGAAAGGGTGTCCTAAGAAAACAGAAACAAGAAGCAAGCAGGTGTAGCTAGTGCAGTAACTATAAAATAGTCTTCAAAACAAAACTAATCAGAGGAGGTGGGGAAGGACCCGGCATACTCCTAGAAGGAAAAACCCACCAAGAAGATATCACAATTTTAAACATTTATATGCCAAACAGAAGGGCACCCAAGCTCATAAAAGAAACATTACATTTAAAACCACATATTGAGCCTAACGTAGTGATGGTGGTTTCAGTATCCCACTTTTGCCAATGAACGGGGCATCCAGACAAAAGCTAGACAGAGAAACGCTGCAGTTAAACAATATCATACATTAGATGGAACTAATAGACATTTTCTCTTGTTTTGCTTTGTTTTTTCGAGACAGGGTTTCTCTGTAGTTTTGGTGCCTGTCCTGGATCTCACTCTGTAGACCAGGCTGGCCTCAAACTCACAGAGATCCACCTGCCTCTGCCTCCAGAGTGCTGGGATTAAAGGTGTGCGCCACCACTGCCCATCCCTAATAGACATTTACAGAACATTCCACCCAATGCTAATGAGTACACTTTATTCTCAGCAGACCATAGAACTTTCTCCAAAACTGACCACGTATTAGCAGACAAAGCAAGACTTGGCAGCTAGAGAAAACTGAAATAGCACCCTGCATCCTGTCTGACTACATAAATTAAAGGCAGATATCAACAACAGAAACTGTCATAAGCTCACACACTCAGGTAACTAAACAACTCACGCTGAAAGAAAATTGGGTCAAGTAGGAATAAAGAAGGAAATTAAAAACTTTTTAGAATTGAATAAAAATTGAAATGTAACATATCTAAAATTATGGGACACAAGGAAGGCAATTCTAAGAGGAAAGTTCACAGCACTAAGTGCCTACATAAAAAACTGGAGATAAAGCCGGGCGGTGGTGGCGCACGCCTTTAATCCCAGCACTCGGGAGGCAGAGCCAGGCGGATCTCTGTGAGTTCGAGGCCAGCCTGGGCTACCAAGTGAGTTCCAGGAAAGGCGCAAAGCTACACAGAGAAACCCTGTCTCGAAAAACCAAAAAAAAAAAAAAAAAAAAAAAAAAAAAACTGGAGATATATTGTATTAATAACTTAATAACACACCCAAAAGCTCTAGAAAAATAAAAAGAAATAATGCCCAAAAAAGAGTAGACAGGAACAAATAAGTTTAGAGCTGAAATCAATGAAATATAAGCAAACCAAGAGAATCACAAAGAATCAATGAAGAGTTTTCTTTTTTTTTGAGAAAAATCAAAACTTTAGTCAAGTTAACCAAAATATAGAGAGAAGAGGCAAGCTAATAAAATTAGAGATAAAAAGGGAGACATTACAACAGGTACCAAGAAATTTCAGAGAATTGTAAGGGAATACTCTTAAAATTTAATCTTTATTATACCAATCTGAAAAACAAAATAAGAAATGGATAAATTTCTTGATATATGACCTAACAAAGTTGGATCAAGAGAAAACAAACAATTA